CTTCTTCCATGTTTCCTGCTTCCAGGTACTTTCCTTAGCTCATAATTGAGGATCGATTGCAGAACCTGTAATAGTTTGAAGTGTGTTGAATGAAGGCTACATTTAAGTTGATATCCCTGTTGCTTTACTTTCATTTTACATTTAGTACCTAGGTTCAGAACTATAGCTGTTGATTGGGCTTCCTTTTCCCTGAAACTTGTGTACGAAAGAGATTCTTATAAAAGTATTTCTTATGTGTATTGATAAACTGGACTGTGGACTTTGATTATGTAGATTCATTCTTGACTTCCTGTTTTGATTTTAGTTACTGTTAGTACTCTGCCATGTTATTCCTCTTGACTACATTTTATTTCGACTAGCTCATTTATGCTCCATGTTTGGTATGTCAATTAATGACATATTATAAACATTTGGAGCTCATGACAAAGCTGCAATCAGTGCTATCGTTTGTACTTGTGAATATTAGGCAGTACTGATTCTTTTCATTTTTGTTTGAGTTTGTTTGATTATGTGGGGGTTGACACATTCATTTATTGATAGCAATATAAATTAGCAGGTCATCAGTCCTATAGGAATCTGGTTGGATAATTTGTGTAGTCATAAATATTGGGTATGGTTGGGTTTTCAATTTCGATGAGTGTTTGACAAAATTGTTAAGTTATGAGGTTTCATTTCATATAAAGATTAGAATAGGTCTATATTTTGTAATAAAAGCTTACTAATTAATGTTTCGAAATTAAAGGGTCAGTTATCGAAAGCTTGTTTATTTCGTTAAATAACTCAGCAACCTATGAGTTCAGAGATTCGATCTTGAATTCCCTTCTTTTCAATTTTAATGCCTTAAATTTGGGGCCTGTTTGTTCTCAAAAAATAAAGCCTGCATCTGGGCTCAAGGCCAGGCCCAATAAAATTGGTGCCCTCATTCATGTGGTATTTCGCATGGCACCCAGGCCAGTTCCAGGCGTGAGCAACTTGAATTGGGCCCATCCTTGGGCCCATAGCTTTACAAGACTTGGATCACTTTTTCTTTCGAATTAATATTTTTAATGATTTAAATGTGAGCATTGGGCCTTCCAAGCTAGGCAGCAGATTTGAACTAAGGACCTTTTCAATAATTGAAATATGTCCTTGTTTGGGTCTGGGCTTGATCTCGGGGCTCAAATCTTCCTAAATGCTTCTGATGTTAGTCAATTTTAATTACGTAAACCCTTTAATTAGAATAGGAGTTGAGCCATAATAGATAATATTAGTTCATGGACTTTCCGAATATTAGTTAGGACATCCTTAAAAATAAAGTTGAGGTGCGCCGTGGCAAATAAAATTACAAATTGTGTGGCCCTCTTTAATTATTTTTTTTAAAATCCTTAGAATTCGGGACGTGCCATTTAGCGAATTTTCATGGCCCCCGCAAAGTTAACAACGTGTTAGTTGCTTTAGGCGCGTTATTTAATACTTTTACCTTCTTAAACTCGGGTGTGCATTTCATGTGACCCAAATCCAAATCCTAAAACGTTGAATAAAATGTGTTTTAGATTGCGGGTGCATTTCATGTGACGCGATCCAAAGACACGTTTTAAATGACGTTCAATTTTTCTTAAAATTAATTAAAAGCGGTAAATATTTTTAAAATTGGACTATAGGTTGAACATGTATTAAAATCAGATAATAGGCCAATTATGATGGTTTAAGCGACCGTGCTAGAACCACGGAATCCGGGGGTTCCTAACACCTTCCCCCTGGTTAACAGAATTCCTTAGTCAAAATTTCTGGTTCGAAGACTACACTTGGAAAGTCGAAATTTTCCTCGATTTGGGATTGAAAATAAACAGGTGACTTGGGACACCAGAAACAAACCTATCCCAAGTGGCGACTCTGATCATTAAATAATCCCATTTCGAATAATGTTACTTAAAGTGGAAAAACTCCCTTATACACTATCCTTCGGGGTGGTGTGTAAAAAAGGTGGTGTGACAGCTCTAGCGACTCTGCTGGGGATACAAACCCAGAATTTCGGTTCAGGGTTTAAGAATTCAAGCTTAGAATAGCTGTTATGATTGGCTTTATCTGATTTTCCTACATGTTTCATCCTAATGTGCTAAATGCTTTACCACTTTGATATTTGGTGAATTGTATATATAAACTGCTACGAAACTCTTCCTCTCTCTGAGTCTTCTACATCATGGAGAATGGTGCACTTCGTGTGACTTCTCTTCTATCTAGAGTCTTATCCAATTTTAGAACGAGGTTCGGACAAGTTGCAAAGCCGGTGAAGCTTCTGTATTCCCGGTACGCTGCCCCCCCCCCCCCCCCCCCCGGCTCGAGCTGTCCGCTCGAGTAAGCCAGGTCTAGAACAATAAACCCAGGGTTTAAACCTAGTATAACAAAGACTCATGCCGGATCCCTAGTAGGAACATTTGTTCGCATCACGTGCATTTGACTTAGGAGACTCAACACAGGTGTTGGGTCTGTTTAGGACAGGTGTACCTGAAATGAAAAGTCCATCCTGATGCATCCTACTTGCTACTTGTGCATTTATTTGCTTTGGATTTGCATGTTGACCGGCTTGGGAGAGAGTTGGAAAAGAGGATAGCAATGTTAGGGTTAAGTGAGTTAATCACCCGTTTTGAAAAACCAATACCCAAATGGTACTGAAACTCTGCCGAATTTTTGAGAAAATAAAAGAAAAAGAAAGGTTTTTGTTTTCAAAAATAGTTGGTTTTGTCAAATCTCACCGAACTACGCGGGTCTGATTCTCACCGGATGTGAGATACGTAGCAAACCTCATCGGTTCCGACCCCAATTTTGAAAAATCCAAAAATATTTTCCTTTAGTTCCTTCTTTAGAAATCTTTCCTTAGAAAATTAAAAAAAAAAGAAGTTTTTTTAAAACTCAAAAAAAGTAGTTTCCTTTTTTCTGAAGTCTTTCATATGCAAATAGAAATAAATAACAAAATCAAAAAAAAAAAATCAAACTCCAAAATACGCGTTTCCTTCATTTTGAAGTATTTTTTCAAAAAACAAAAATCCAAAAAAATCAGAAACAAAAAACCCAAAAATACTCTTTAGATGTCTTTCATTTGTAAATGTCCATAAAATTTTGAAAAATTGAAGTCCAAAATATTTTTGCTTTTCTTCAGAAGTGCTTTTGTAAATAAAGAAAAGCTCAGAAATTCAAAACAATTTTCCTAAAAAAAAAAGTCCCTCTTTCGAAAATTAAGAGGTTACATCTAAAATCCAAAAGTATTTTCTTTCTTCCTTAAAAAAAGAGAGAAAACAAATGAAAATTCAACCAAAAAATATTTTCTTTTTACTTTTGAAATTCCCAAAGTTCCAATCAAAAGAAAAGGAATTTTTAGAAGTCTTTCTTTCAAAATAAAAGAAAAAATCAAAAAATAAAAAAAAAATCAAAAAAGAATTAGAAAAGTATTTTCTTTCTTCTTTTAAAGCATTTCTTTCAAAAAATTCCAAAAAAAGAAGAAGAGAGAGTTAGTTTATTTGCTCTATTCTCGATCTCCCAGAACTACGCTCGGTCTGATTCATGAGGGGTCATGATACGTAATCAATCTCCATAGGATTCGACCATAACCAAAAGAAAGAAAAAAAGAGTGATAAAAAAAAGAGGCGATGAAAAATTATGAGAGAAAAAGGGCAAAAGAAAGGAAAAGCAAGGAAAAGAAAGAGTGAAATCAAAAGGAGGAAAATGGGAAAAAATAAGTAAAGCCGGGATGAAGCATGCAACTGTTGCAAAACATGTAGAAACCCATTTAACTGTATAGGTGCATCACACCCCAACGTGCGATTACCTATCTGTTATTTGTCTCAAACTAACCGTTTGCTGCTGTCAAATTCCAGTCCAGGTTTTATAGAAACGGTGGTTGGTTTTCCGTGGTAACCTAGCTTCACATCCATACTTTACTAGATCAAAGGGGAGTATCGGAATGTCTTCAGAAATCACCTTGCCAACAATCCCCATCGCAGATGATAGCCCAATCTCGGGCATCCCGACCTCAGAATCTGCAGCGGCTGAAGAGAACAGGGTCTTACGTCTTCGAGTCATGGAAATGTGGGATGCTTGGGCGAATGGAAGAGAGCCGCTAAGTGCTATCCCGGGATTCCCCGAACTGTTTCCTAGATCAGGGGGTACTTCAAATGTTCCAATCAATCATCCAAACACCCCACTGGGACAGCCCACCATGTCAGCTCATTTCGTGGGAACACCTTCTGAGGTTCGCCCCCAGGTGTTCATGTCCGGAGCAGCCTCCAATATCTTCACCGCTCCCCCGTGCTCAGCCACAACACAGCCTGCACTGCCTAGGCCCAATTTTGACCCTTCGGCCTTTACATTCCAAACACCCACCTTCCAAATAGAGCCTCCTCAGTTCCCCACTTATACTTATCCTCAGCCGCCTCAATTTGAGTTCACTGCGGGACAGGAAAAGACTCCCAAAACTCCCGAACAGGAAGAAATTGCAAGGAGGATGAGAAGCTTGGAGCAGAGCCTCAAGAACATATTTGAGTGGGCAGAAAAGTGTGTCCTATGCTGTTCTATGCATGTTCCCTCACGTCAACTTGCCTCTGGGATTCAAAACTCCAAAGTTTGAAAAGTACGATGGACATGGTGATCCTATTGCTCATCTTAAGAAATACTGCAATCAGTTACGAGGAGCCGGAGGAAAGGAAGAATTACTCATGGCTTATTTTAGAGAAAGTCTGGTTGGTATTGCCTCCGAGTGGTATATGGATCAAGATATATCTCGTTGGCACATCTGTGATAACCTCGCTAGAGACTTTGTCAGACAATTCCAGTACAACATAGACATTGCTCCAGACAGAAACTCACTGGCAAACTTGAAAAAGAAGTCCTCGGAGAGCTTCCGGGAGTACGCAATCAAATGACGTGAGCAAGCATCTAGAGTAAATCCTTCGATGGACGAGGTCGAAATGGTCACAGTGTTCCTCCAAGCTTAGGAAGCCGACTACTTCCAAAATATGATGTCAGCTATGGGTAAATCGTTCGCGGAAGCTATCAAAATCGGTGAAATGGTGGAAAATGGATTGAAAACAGGCAGAATCCTAAGCCAATCCGCTATTAGAGCAACATCCCAAGCCATTCAGGGTGGGTCTGGAGGAGTAGCAAAGGGCAAGAAGAGAGAAGAAACATCCATGGCAGCATCAGGTGCAAGAAGACACCGTGCTCCCAGATCCATGTTCCCAGAAAGAACCCCTCAGCATTATTACCCTCACCAGGACATGGCCTATGCTCCTCAGCCATACGCGGTCATGAATGCTCAACCTTTTGTCCGGCCTCAGCAACAAGCCAACCAGAACCAAGCTCCATTTCCTAGAAACCAGCCTCCTCACCAAAACCACTACGACCCCCATCCTCCACAAAATAACTTCCGTCCTCATGAACCACCCAGGAGGCCAAATTTTACACCAATCGGTGAATTCTACTCCAGTCTGTTTCCAAAGCTTGTCCAAATGGGTCTGCTGCAGCCCGTACCTCTAAACAGGCAAAACCCAGAATCACCCTCCTACCAACGGGGCACCCGATGCGCCTATCACTCAGGGGCTGAGGGGCATGATATAGAAAACTGTTGGACTTTGAAAAGAACCGTGGAGGATTTGATTGAACAGAGGAAGATAGTGTTAAGGGTCGAGGATATACCCAATGTGACCAACCCCCCACTGCCGGCCCACAACAACGGGCTGGTAATCGGAATGATCTGTGAAGATAAGGAATTTGACCCGGCATTGAAGGCCATCATCGCCATTGCTGATGTAGAGAGGAAACCAAAAACTTCCCCAAAGCAAGACGAAGGGGAGAAAAAGAACAAAACCGCCCACTCAAAATCAGAGAAGAAAATTGAAGCAGGAACTGGGGCAGCACCCGCCAAAGATGCTGTACTCTATGTCCCTCGGGGCCGCAAGGAAAAGCAGATGACTTTGAGTCCTCCTAGGAGATTTGAACTGAACAAGGCGACCCAAATGTACATGCCCAAGGGAGCTTATGTGGTGCGGGGGTCAATTAATCCGCCAAGGCTGAGTGAGCCCGTGGTTATTGGCCGCGCGCCACAGAGGCCCATGACAGATCCTACAACGGTGCCTTGTAACTACCATAAAACAGTGGTGACCTATAAGGGCAAAGAAATCTCAGGAGAAGTTCAAGAAAATAACCCAACTGAAAAGTATTTCAATTTGGAAGAGGTGAACAATGCCACTAGGAAGCGCTTCCCATCTAAGAAGCCCATGAGTGCTGAAGAAGCGGAGGCCTTCTTTCAAAATATGAAAATGGCAGATTATGAAGTGATTGACCAGCTTCGAAAATCTCCCGAACAAGTCTCCTTATTATCTCTATTGATGAGCTCCACCAAACATCAGAAAGTATTGATCAAAACCCTTAACGAAGCATATGTGCCTGTCGAGAATTCTGTAGAGCAGTTGGAGAGAATGGCAGAATGATTTTTCGCAATTAACCAGATCTCCTTCAGCAAAAATGACTTGCCCCCAGAAGGGGCCGCATATAACAAAGCCATGCACCTAACAGTCAAATGCGAAGGGTACTATGTGAAAAGGGTTATGGTGGACGGAGGTTCTGGGGGTAGACATCTGCCCACTCTCCACTTTACAGCGCATGGAAATTGGGACTGAAAGAATCTGACCCAACAATGTCTGCGTACGAGCCTTCGATGGTATAAAAAGGAACACGATTGGAGAGATCGATCTAATTCTGACCATCGGCCCAGTAGACTTTGAAGTAACCTTCTAGGTTCTAGACATGGACACCTCCTACAACCTTCTTTTAGGGAGGCCATGGATCCATGCAGCGGGGGTTGTGCCCTCTACTCTTCATCAGATGGTAAAGTTCGAGCATGAGGATCAAGAGATCGTGGTCCACGGGGAAGATGAGCAATCAATTTATTGGGACCCATCAGTCCCATGTCTTGAAGCAAGAGAGGGGAGTGAGCATATAGTTTATCAGGCCTTTGAAGTTGTGGTGGCAGACCAGTACGAAGAGGGAAACCCTTGCCCCCAACCCTTCCTTTCCAATGCATCAATCATGGTGGCCAAAGAAATGATCCGACATGGCTTCAAGCCAGGGAAGGGACTTGGGAAATCCTTGCAAGAAATAGCTGAACCAGTTACCCTGCCCGCCACTGAGAAGTTCTTCGGGGTAGGCTTCCGACCTACTTCAGATTATATAAAATGGGTAGACGACAGAAAGAATGATGGATGGGTTTTGCCTCAACCACTGCCACATTTGTACGAGACATTTGTCAAGCCAAAATACAATGAAGAAGTGGAGGATGAGGCCTTTATGGCCGAAGAGATTGAAGAGATCTGTGGGGTAATGAGAAAGATACTATATGAAACCCACATGGTACAGTCAGGAGAGGGCTCAAGCACCGCTGAGGTGATGTATATGGGACCTAACACCAAGCTGCAGAATTGGAAGGCTACGCCATTCCCAATCAGGCGGGAGTCCCGGTAGACCTATCCTGCCACTTTTTCTGCATCGCGAGTTATTCCAGAGTGTAACTCGGATGATTTCTTTAGTTTCTTGTCTTTTAATTTCCAAATGTAAACCCTGTTATCTTCAAATTCCAAGAAATGAAATCAATATTTCATCGTTGATCTTTCTTTATTCTTTCTGATTTTGCCATTTTTTCTCTTTTATTTCTTCTTTCAGTTCTAATAATGCGGCTTTAAATAACATGACATGCTTGCGGACTTCATGCCCAGATTCCAAAACGCTGTCAGACTTCGAAATAATGAATCAAGAGTCGAAATGCAAAGAAGATAAGTTTGAGGAAATGAATCAAAGAGTTGGAACAGCTGAAGGAAAATTGCTTCCAGAATGGAAAGTTCCATACATTGCAACAAGAGTATTGCCAAAAGAGTGTGTTGTACTTGGGACACATCGAAGGAAATGATCCCGAAGCAGCTGTGAATGCGGATGCAGTAAAAAGGTACTATGTTTAGGCTTTCTGCAACAATGACTTTGTTCAATTGGGATGACGAAGGCTTTCATTCTCGCTACCCAAACACTACCAGCCCTTTGCAAACCCTTTGAGCCGACTCTCATTCTTTGATTACCCTCTTTGAAACCTGAAAGTGTTATTGAAAAATGAAATGAAAAAAAAAGAGAAAAAGAGAAATATAAAAAAAAAGAAGAAGAAAAGGCAAAGAAAATGGAAAAAAAAAGAAAAAAAAGAAGAGAAGAGATGAAAAAAAGAGAGAGGAAAAAGAAAAAGAAATGAAAAATGAAAAAGAAAGAAAAAGAAAACAAAACAAAACAGAAGAAAAAAAGAAAACCAAAAACAAATGTTTCCCTGAACTACGTTTGACTTGATTCCGAAAGGATACGTAGGCAGCCTCTCTCTGGGGTTCAGTCACACCAAAACAAAAATCCCAATTCTCCCAAAAGTGAAACTGGGGCAGATGATATAATGGCTCAGCAATGAGCCCACCAGAACGGTTCCAAAGTTGTAATTCCATCCAGATTCTTTTTACCCAAACATTGTCCAAGTCCTTCTGATCAATTGGCAAAGGCATTGGAATCGAAAAACACTATTGTTGGAATCTGATGCAATCAAACTGAGAAAAATAAAATGAGAGAGTCTTATCGGTGAAAACCTACGGGCACCATAAGGCGACGGTGAGTAGAGAAATTGAAAATGAGAGAGTCCGTTTAGTGAAAACTTGTAAAGAGCACTATAGGGCGATGGTGAGAAGAGAAATGAGAGAGGTCGATTGGCAAAAACCCGCAAAGGGCACCGTTGGCCGAAGAGAAGACATCTCCCACCACTAAAAGAGTCCTGGCAAGATTCCCTGGTTTTGAAACGTGGGTCAATGAGTCTATGAGAAGTTGGGAAAGTTTGTGCGGGTCAGGCATCCAGTCCAAGAAGCATGTCATGTCTATTTGAAACCTGCATCCACCCCAGATAAGTCCTTCCTTCCTCTCGAAAGGGACACTTCTCTTTAAATTTATTTTCTTGCCTTTTGTTTACTTTTCCTTGAATCCCTTTCGGTCTAACTCTGTTCCCGAAACTAATACAAAGAAAAGGTGGCAAGATTGGTGTTACAGGGCTCTGCCTAGCAAAAGCTAATGAAAAGTACCCAACATCAGCGGGTGCGTCAGGCCAATCCCGACTGGCCATGATGGTTGATGCTCTAAAATCAAAGCTATTGAAAAGGAAACGAAAGTCAAGGACAAAGGTCCTAAAGGCAGAATAAAGTAAAAGGGTCGAAGCCCCACGCGGGCGAGTTGTCATGAAAATTTAAAAGTTGAGCTCTTCGATTTGCGAGAGAGATTAATCTTCAAAACCAGAAAGCAGTAGAGGTTCTCAACAGAAGTTGGGCCGAGGTCAAGCAATTCGGACGACCAAGGCCACAAAACCAACCACCGTTTCAAATTAACAATTGTTCTTTCTTTGAAAATTTGAAACAGGTGCAATTCAAGCAACCGTGCAAAAAGCAAGTGCAACCTGAAAGGAAAAGAAATGCGAAAATGCCGAAAAAGCTTTGCAGCGGGGAACCAACCAAAAAGGAGGTTTCCCCCAAATTCTTTCTTGCATTTTCTACTAAAAAAAATCCAAAATCATGGTAGCATAGGGCCCCATTCCCTAGATATCTCGGCATAACCCGCGTATCTCCTTGGCATAACCTAAGGAGCCTTTTTTCTTTCTTATCCCGGCATAACCCGCGGATCTCCCTGGCATAACCCAATGAGCCTTTTTTCTTTCAATCCCGGCATAACCCGTGGACCTCCCTGGCATAACCCAAGGAGCTTTTTTCTTTCTTATCCCGGCATAACCTGCGGATCTCCCTGGCATAACCCAAGGAGCCTTTTTTCTTTCTGATCCCGGTATAACCCGCGGATCTCCCTGGCATAACCCAAGGAGCTTTTTTCTTTCAATCCTGGCATAACCTGTGGACCTCCCTGGCATAACCCAAGGAGTGTTTTTCTTTCAATCCCGGCATAACCCGTGGACCTCCCAGGCATAACAAAGGAGCCTTTTTCTTTCTTATCCCGGCATAACCTGGGGACCTCCCTGGCATAACCCAAGGACCCTTTTTCTTTTATCCCGGCATAACCCGTGGACCTCCCTGGCATAATCCAAGGAGCTTTTTTCTTTCTTATCCCGGCATAACCCGCGGACCTCCATGGCATAACCCAAGGAGCTTTTTTCTTTCTTATCCTGGCATAACCCGCGGATCTCCCTGGCATAACCCAAGGAGCCTTTTTTCTTTTATCCCGGCATAACCCGTGGACCTCCCTGGCATAACCCAAGGACCTTTTTCTTTTATCCCGGCATAACCCGCGGACCTTCCCGGCATAAGCCGAGGACCCTTTTTTTTTTCTTNGCGGCTTTAAATAACATGACATGCTTGCGGACTTCATGCCCAGAGCCAACTACGTTGTCTAATTGTGAAATAATGAACCAAGAACCGGAATATGATGAAGAAGAGGCTTTTAGGGAAATAAATCGAGAATTGGAACAGTTTGAAAATAAACCTAAGCCAAACTTGAATGATACTGAGCCGGTTAACTTGGGAACTTCCGAAGAGATCCGGGAAACCAAAATAAGCATTCACACGGATGAGAAAACTCGGGATGCAATAATCCAACTCTTGTTTGAGTTTAAAGATGTGTTTGCTTGGTCATATGACGACATGCCAGGGCTGAGTGTTGATTTAGTGGTTCATAAGTTGCCAACTTACCCCGATTGCCTTCCGGTCCAACAAAAGCAGAGAGAGTTTAAAACTGACATCAGTGATAAGATCAAAGAAGAAATCACGAAACAGCTGAAAGCAGGGGTAATCCGAGTGGTCCGGTACACTACATGGTTGGCCAATGTAGTCGCAGTTCCAAAGAAAGATGGAAAGACCCGGGTGTGTGTGGATTACAGAGATTTGAACAAGGCAAGTCCCAAAGACAATTTCCCTTTGCCCAACATCCACATCCTTGTTGATAACTGCACCAAACATGAGATACAATCCTTCGTGGATTGTTACGCAGAATATCACTAGGTGTTAATGAATGAAGAAGACACAGAGAAAACAGCTTTTACCACACCTTGGGGTACATACTGTTACAGGGTCATGCCATTTGGTCTGAAGAATGCTGGGGCAACCTACATGAGGGCCATGACCGCCATTTTCCATGATATGATACACCAAGAGATAGAGGTGTATGTGGATGACATGATTATCAAATCCAAAACCCAGGACGATCACGTTCCGGACCTGAGAAAATTCTTTGAACGGGTTCGCAAATTGTAAGCACGTGATTTTTGCCCTATATGAAATACTCCTATAAAATCCAAGAAGATAGATTTTTTTTATAATTATTTACCATTTTTAGGAATTTTTATAGATTTCATTAATAGGTTGCATTTTTTCTTGCATGTTTAATTTTATTTAAATAAAAAAAAATACCAAAAATGTCGCGCATTGAA